GAACATAACTTTTACCTATTTTAATACAAAGATTATTTGAAATACATAAACTAGTTAATTGATTTTTTTTTTTTTTAAATAATGTTAGAATAAAATTTCAAATGAAAACATATTACAATTATTTGCAGTATATAAAGAAAGTGAGAGTGAGGACACTATTAAAAATTTTTTTTCATAAATATTATCAACCACTGATTTTGTCTAACTTGTAATTATATTTCTACAAAGCATGTACTGAATGTTAAAATACTTACATTTATGTTTTGGGTCCCAGAATCTACTTCCTGTACTTGGTTTCGAATATTATCTTACACATTATATTTAGATTCATGATTTTAATGCCGCTTCTTATCTAATGTTACTAGCGAATTCGTGAACATTGGTACTAGTGTAGTAGGTAGAGAAAAGACGTTATTTGTAAGTGTGTTTGTTTGTGTTAAGACTTCTTGTTTACTTAAAATTAAATTTGTAAAATCTAGGTGAAAAATAAAAAGATTGATATTAATAACAAAAAAAAAAATTATATTTTGTATGAAAATATTATTGATATTTTAAAATTTAAGCTTCAAACGTAGACTGGAACATTAACACGTATCAGTGCTTGTGCTTGCCATGTATGCTAAGTTTACAGCATTTAATTAAAATAGAATAAAAATGAGATTATTAAGAATTTGAATTCCAGAGTGAAAGTAACAATTATGCAACAAATGTTAAGAAAAGCTTAAAAAAATTAAAGTCAGTGCTAAACTTACAATCAGAAATGTATAAATAATAAATAACAACAGTTTAACACTAAAAGCTAGGTTGTATTTAGTACAACTTTTGCCTTCAAAGAACAATTTTACTATTAAAAGAAAATTTGTTTTTAAATCTCAAGGATACTGAAATAGTTATAATAAAGCCGTTATTCAAGCAGTCCGTACATATTTTAAAGGCGTGGAAACATCTGACACCATCTTAAATGCCTTTAGTACATCTATTAGTCAAAATTTTTCTTCGAAACTATCTTAAAATGACATATGAGCTAACAGCTATCTAAGAAACAAAATAATTTCACGTAAAGCTGATTCACAAAAAATTTCAACATCGTATTTCATAGATAGCTGTAATATAAGAGAGGTAGATTAGAAAAAATTAGTATTGAAATAATACCCATGCAAACCTTAACAGATAATCAGTTAAGAAGCCCTTAATAAAAGTTCTATTTCAAAAGTGATAAATTCAAATTCCAATGAGTATAGCCGTAGTTGTATAGAATTTAAATACCTGCATACGCAGAACTTACCTTGCGAATCGTGATTATTTTCTATTAGAGTTATGAAGCGTTTATATTCACCTTTATTTCTCTTCTTTAGAGTAGTATCACTGTTATTGAGTAGAAGCTTAGAATTATTCTTAGGTTTTATAAGAGGTTCATTCCTCCATGGTTTAACTCCATTTTCCAAGGAAGGTTTAAAAGAGCTCACTACTGGCAGGCCTGTGTGACATCGTAATTATTATTTGAAAAATTAAGATACAATTTCATTTATAAAAATTAATAATTTTTTCATGACTTATAACAAATGTATTTTCAAGGAAACTCCTATTGTGTGAAATCGTAATTAATACTTTATTTAAAATATTTAAATAATATACACCA